GTGGGAAGGTGGAGAGCTGCAGCCATGGGGATTTCTGATATAAAACAGCAATTGATTTTTATCTGGGTGTAAAACCCCGCCAGAAACCAGGGCACGCTGTGGTGTGCAGGCACAGCCAGCATGGTTTGCCTGCTCTGGGAGAGCTTGGGTGAATAATGCACCAGTGAGAGGCTGCAGGGCTGGCTGAGAGCCTGCAAAGGCAGGCAGCCCTGGAAGCCTGGCAGGAGGATGCTGGAGCAAAGGGCAGAGCTGGTTCCTCCTCCAGCAATGAAGCCCAGGCAGCTTCAGATGCAGAGCTGCTGGGTGGGTTTTTCTTCTTTGCATTTAACACAAATAAAGAGCTCACAATCCTGGTTTGCTCCACTTCCCCCCTCCCCTCCAAGAAAAAATCCCCCCCAACTGTGGAGTGAGTGGGAATATTTATGAACTGTGAGAACATCAACCACAATGTTATTTTTAAGTTTGTTTTTGATGAGCAGCTCTGGCTTTTCCACGACATAAATCAGCTGTTGAGTTGTGTTCAGCTGTGAGGTTGCTTTTTTGATCTGAAGGTGATATTTCCAGTGCAGGGAAACACCCTGAGAAGGCTTACATCCTGCGGAATGTCGTGCTGGGCTCTTCCCATCTGTAGTCAGGATCATTTGCCACGTGTTATCATTTAGAAACGAGCTCTTCTCATTTGGCCAGCCAGGAAAAGTGGTTGGAAAACATCACAAACCCACACAGCCTTTTCCTCCCTCCCCTGTACCCCGTATCTCTTGGGGGAAACAGGGCAGCAGACTAACATAAGGTCCTCTGTAACATTTGACAGCCCAGATCCAGCCCACGAGCCACCAGAGAGCTGCTGCTGATTGTCCAAAATGAGTGTGAGCTGCCCAGTTGGCTCCAGTGGGCACCAGCTCTGAACCTCCTGGGAAGTGTGAGGACAACCTTGCTCCCTCTCCCTGTTCAGAGATTCCTGCCTGCACCAGAAAATCATTAAGTTTTCAATGTCTCCAAACATCAGCTCTCAAAATCTGCCTCTCTACAATGCATGAAAAATGTATCCCTGGCCTCACTGTGAAAAAAATGTACAGCATAGAAAATACTAAACCTGGTTCTTGTGTTATAGGTGTTTTCCAGAAAAGGGCTTTCCTTCCAACACGAGGCTAACACTGCTCACATGGGCACCTACTTCCCCTGTACCAAACCCAGAACTTCCCCTGCTCAAAGGGAAAGTGAGCTCTAGAATTGATTCCTGAGGGATGCAGAGCCCCAGGATGCCCCGTGGGGACCCTGCCCTTCCTCCCAGCTGTGCACTGGGCTTGGCCCAGGGTCCCTGGGGGAAGGGGGAGCTGGGGTCTCATCAGCTGCAGGACTCACTTATAGACCTTGGAACAGAGATTGCCTTTATATTCCAGAAGCCTGGAATAAACACAGAGCAGCCTAAGGAGTCTCTGGGGTCTGTGTGTGGAGGCTTCATTAGGAATCAAATGCACCTTTACCCTGTGGAGTTTTGAAAAGTGCTGTTTGATTGCAGGGGTGAGCAGCCTGAAAGCACGAGTGCAAGCACATGTGTTTGTGTGTGTAGGAAGGTTTTTGATGCAGAGGGCAGCTCTTCCCAGACTGGTGTCACCCAGTGCTGAACCACGAGCTTTGAGGCAGCAGCTTTGGTGAAGGGATACAAGAAGCTGCATGAAAGGGATGGTGTCAAACGTTTAGGTCCTGAACCCAACACCAAAGCAAATGCACTGGCAGATTCTCAGCTGAGATTTGTGGGGATTTTGAGAGTCACAAAACCCCAGGGGTTATCAAACACCTCCTCACATTCCCCTCCTGCCGTGGAGGAGGACCAGGCGTGCTGCCTCCTCTTCATGTGGCAAGTGATGTGTTGGCACCGTGCTGCGAGCTCAGCACAGAGAGTGTGGTCGTGCAGGAAGGCTGCATGTTCCACTGTGAGGCAGGAGGGTAAAGAGCACACACCTTGGTGCTCTCCCCTGCCAGACCTCCTGCACCCTGCAGAGGGTGTGCTGCTGCCCACTGCAGCTGATGCTTTGGGATGGGGGTAGTTAGCAGCCACTGCTACAGGAGGGCTTGTTCAGGATGGTTGGGGCAAACAAATGGAATATTTCCTTGCCAGGCTGCTTGAGAGTTAATTCAACTTATTCTTTGCATGCTGGAAAGGGAAAGGCGCCAGCTGCATATGCTGACATCACCCTGGAGGAGGATGCAGCAGTGCAGGGCAGGGTTTTCATACAGACTCAGGCCCATGGGGCATAGGGAGGGATGTGGTCCCTGCTGGATGAAACAGATCTGCTGAAAGGATGGAGGAGGACCAAGAGGTCATTCAAAGAGGGTAAATATGTAGCAGATCTAGAGAGAGCTAGAGAGCAATTATGGGCATCACTTCTCCTGCCTGCTGCCCACCAGAAGCTCAGGTCTCTTCTGCCCAGGCCTTGCAGTCCACTGCACTGCCCAAAAGAATCCCAGTCCCATCCACATGTGGCCACCACAATGAGATCTGCAGGGCTGGTGCTGATGCCCAGATTTGCTGCCCAGTCCTTACCCTGCTGACAGCTGGGCTGGCACCTGCCTAGAAAGCATGAGTTTTTCTAACTTGGAGTACGCTGTTACTGGTGTAAATCCTGCCCAGAGCTGGCACAGGATTAAGCATGCACGGAGGGACCATGGCAGCCCTGATTGCCTGGGGAAAGTGGGCTGTCACTTGGAGTGTGAGGCTGTCCTCCCATTCATCCCCACCATCATCCATGCAGGTGGGGAAGCTTGGGAAGGGCCAGGAGGTATGGCCTCAATGGCCTCAGTGCTTTGTGCTGTGCCCCATCAGGCTGTCCTCCAAACTGAAAACATTCTGTGAATGGCGGGATCTGCCCAGTGCCCTCCAAGAGGGGCAGGAGTGGCTGGGGAGCCGCACTGCACTCGCTGTGGGGGAGGAAGCAATGCAGGACCTGGTACACTGGCTCTGTGCCGCGGGAGGATCATCCCTGGCACCTTTGCCTCACCTGGGGTCAGCCACGAGGAGCTGGGGTGGTCTGGGCACTGGGCACTCAGCACTGGGCACTGGGGAATGGGCATTGAGCACTGAGCATTGAGCACTGGGCACTGAGCACTGGGCAGTGGGCACTGGGCAATGGGCAGTGGGCAATGGGCACTGAGTATTTTGCTCTGGGCAGTGGGCACTGAGCACTGGGCATTGGGCACTGCGCTCTGAGCACTGGGCACTGGGTACTGGGCAGTGGGCACTGGCCTCTGGGCATTAAGCCCTGGGCACTGGGCACTGGGCTCTGGGCTCTGGGCATTGGGCACTGAGCACTGGGCACTGAGCACTGGGCTCTGGGTACTGGGCACTGGGCATTGGGCACTGAGCACTGGGCATTGGGCACTGCGCTCTGAGCACTGGGCACTGGGTACTGGGCAGTGGGCACTGGCCTCTGGGCATTAAGCCCTGGGCACTGGGCACTGGGCTCTGGGCTCTGGGCATTGGGCACTGAGCACTGGGCACTGAGCACTGGGCATTGGGCACTGGGCTCTGGGCTCTGGGCACTGGGCACTGAGCACTGGGCATTGGGCACTGAGCACTGGGCACTGGGCACTGAGCACTGGGCACTGAGCCCTGGCCTCTGGGCACGCCGCTCCCGACAGCCGGGCTCTCCAGCAGCTCTGGCGCCCATTCGAGGCAGAAGAGGAAGCAAAGCGGATTTGCATGCCACGGCTACACCCTGCCTCAACCAAATTACCGGCAGATGAGCCCCGGCGCACCTCCTGCCTGTTCCCTAATTTATGGCAGGAGAAGCAGGGAGGGGAAGGTGAGGGGGAGTAGGGGAGGGAGCAGCAGACATGGCCATTATACATGCAAATACAGCGCTGTGTGCTCCTCCAGTGCTCTCCCTCTGAGAGTTTCTCATCACTGACAAACTGGTCGCTGTCCTTTAAAGGATTTCGGGGGAGAAGGGGGCCGGTGCCGGCTGTCTCGGTGGTGTGCGTGCCCGGGGCTGGCCGGGGCACGGCCGCTGCCCGCACCTGCCCGCACGGCCGGGCGGGAGCCCCGGGGCCCGCCCGAGGCCCCGCGCTCTGTCTGGGACGCAGAACAAAGCCGCTGCTTCACCTCCCCGCCGGCCCGCGCAGACTTCCTCCTCGGAGTATTTACCAGCTTTCCCCGGCAGCTTCCCATGGGGACGAGCCAAACAGAAGCTGCTGTGAGCCGGCCATGCCCGCTGGGTCACACACACCCTCCCCGTGTGCCGGCCCGAGCTGCTGCTCCGAGGGTCCAGCTAGGAACGGGGATGTGCCCACATCCCGGAGCCCTTTCCAGCGGCACCCCTCAGCTTTGGTAGCTCTGGCCTTAGGTCGATGCTGCTGCAGAGGCTGAGGTTTGCCTACCCCTGCAAATCGGGAGCAAACCTGCTGAGCAACTTTGGCATTAAAAAAGCGAGTTCAGGATGCAGCAGCGGGAGAGCAGGATCAGTTCCTTTGCAGCTCCTCCAGCAAGGCTCTGTAATGGAGCAGCCCTTTGTGCATAGCAGGAATGGAAACAACAGCCCTCAAGTCTGACCCCAGACAATTGTTTTCAGTGAAGAGGGCTGGGGAGGCAATTAATAATGTTTAAACAAAAGAAATAAAAAAAGCAATACTGTATCTAGAAATTCTTCTGAGGGCCAGAGCTGTGACAGAAAGATATATGCTTTAGCATTGCTGTCAGAATAAATGACCCTCCTGAGAACAGGAGTTTTCCAGGCTCTTTCTGCCCCACTGGACACAATTTAAGAAATGCACTGCTGCTAAAAATCACTAATTTTAGCCAGAAGATGAATTGCATAGGGTCATGTTTTAACTTGTATGCTGGAAGGACAGGGGATATATTATTAGAGAGCCAGAATGCAAAGGGTAGTTTCTGATTAGAAGAGAACATCGTCAGCATTTCTCCAATTAGGCGTGGGCATCAAGTTCCCCGGCACGCAGAGGGGCTGTGAGCAAACCTTTGGCTCCTCCGCTGGGAGCAGGGGAGCTGGCAGAGCAAACGCAGCCCAGCTCTTCAGAGCTGCCGTGGAGTTCCTCAGAAAGAGCCACCTCCCTCCTCGACTCCAGCTGTCAGCGTGCTGCAGCCCTGGGCCAAGAGACTCCCTCTAAGAACAAGAACAGGGGCTGTTTTCCACATCTCCTTCCAGAGGGGCTCTGCAGCGCCGATCCTCTACGACACGGATGCTCGTCCCCTGAGACGTGAACCCAGATCACCAAATTCATTTTGCAGAGACCACCAAACGGCCATCTGAGATCAATTAGCTTGTCATTACTCATCCCCATCAGGTCTGAACTGCTGACCTACAAGTGAAAGTCCGTGTATTTGTCTCCCAGCACTGTGCAGACTCATCCAGCTATCTAATGAGAAGAGCTTCCTCCGTAAACAAAGCCAAGGAGGTCGTGCTCTGGCCGTCCATCGCCTGCTCCAATTAGCTTGAACCCAAGGGCCAAGTCGAGCTCAGTGTGATGGAGAGGTAGGAGTCTCTGGGGTGTCCAGCTCTGTGACAACAGGCTGCTGACTGGAGCAGAATGGCTCCCATTAGTGACAATTTCAAACAATTTTACCACTCGAAATGCCATTTTAGCTTTGCATTTGAATGGCTGCTTTGTTGTTTTAGGCTGCTATTCATAACTAGTTAGTAGTTGAAAGTATAGCCTTATTTATTGGAGATACTGAATGTGCAATCTGGAGGCAGTATTCATCGGGTCATGTGCTTTGGAAGTTCATTATTTAGATGAGGATATGAAACGTGGAAGGAGATACAGCTCTTTTAATTAAAGGAGCGTGAACTTGACTGAAGCATTTGCTGCCTGCAAAGGCTGTAATTATCACACATGATACAATTCTTCATTTAAATCTAAAAGATCCACAGCCCCTTTCCTCATTTGAATTTATGTGTTCTTGCATTATCTGTTTTCTGATAGTGTATGGGGAGCCCTTTGAAACAGCATTAGTCCTAACTTTGAATTACTTCAGGATGCCTAGGAGGCACCAGTAGGTTTTAGACCATGTGGGAGAGTTGCTCCAAGTTTCCAGATCCTTCTGGCATGTGTGGATGTTGCTGTACAGGTGTGGTGGGTGGTGTTTAGGTGTCTCACTGTATGGGCTTGGGAACCCAGATACAGAGAATCATTTAGGTTGGGAAAGACCTCTAAGACATGAAGTCCAGACTGGAGCATCATCAGAGGGAGCATTTATCTGCCCCCGTGAGGGGTTGCAGCTCCCTCCTGTCTGCTCCCTGCTCTGCAGGAGATGGTCTCCAGCACCAGCCCCTAAGCCAGCTCAGGCTGTAAATCATCCCACCCACACCCTGAACGCGTGGCTGCAGCTGCATCAGCGCCTCTGTGGAGCAAGGCACTGCCAGCAGCACTGGGGCTGTTTGTGCCTTTCTGGTGTTGGAAGTGCAGCTGGGGGCACCAGCCTGCTCAGGGACATCTTCATGACAGCAGCTGCACAGGCAGACCACTGGCGTGACCCTTCCTGTGTGATCGTGTTGCTCTGAGCACAACTGTCAGCCTCGCTTAGAATTCACTGGGTTTATTACTGTTTCATTTTTGACCTAAATATAGACCAATTGTTTTTCCCTTAGAGTGATGGAGAATTTTATTGTGAGCTGCATTTTCCAAAACCTTGTCAAAAGGGTAGGGGCTATCAGGGAAGCAAGTACTGGCTCCAGTGGGTAATTTGGGATTTGTCTTAAGCTTCCCCTCTTTGGTGTGGGTGGGGGTCCATTGTTGGTTCCTTTGTTATTATTTTAATTAGAAATATCCAAAGGCAAATGGCAGCTGGACATGACAGATGAGGCTAGTTTGGTCTTAGTGCTGTATGGCAGAAAACTAAACAGTGCTGGTTTTTTCTTTTGGAAACAATGTGCCTATACCTGAAGTGTTGGTATAAAGAGAAAGCTTTTTGGAAATTGCCACAGCTTGGAAAATAATTAGTTCTTTTTTGAAAAATCCTAGAGTTAATCAAAACCATACTCTTCATGATTAAGGCTCTTTGAATGTTTTCTTTACTGTATCTTTAAATTCCAAATAAATCAATGCCTCTATGGAATTTTCTATTGACACAAATTTGTTCCACCTAAAATGAATAGTAAGTCTGAGAAAGCAATAGGAAATTGTTAATTCATCACTGCCTGCCTTCCCCTGCTATATTTTTCTCCTAATCAAAATGCAACCTGATATTCAATCCAAGGAAAACATTTCAAGGAGTCCATCATATGCCACAAGCTTCCAAATTTTCTAAATCTGATAGCAAGAAAACATCATACATCTTAATCACTAATGCACACTATGAAAAGATAAATGTAATGTTCCGTTTTTACCACGGTTGCAGCAACCTGTAACTGATGGCCTTTCCACAAGATTCATGAGCTGATGGAACAGCAGCAGAGGGACATTTCAATATACTGTGTTACAGTCTTGGGTTTCAATGTTTAAATGAGCAGAAAAAATATCGCGTCTATCAGGCCTTGATTCAGAACAAATCTGAGGCACAAGCCCGAGGCTCATTCAGGTCAATGGCTTTTAGGCATGTGCTGAATGAATGTCTTCCTGAGCTGGGGCTGTACCCATGAGCACGGCGAGAGCACAAGTCATTGGAAACATATTGGCAATGTAAAGAAAGCAGCTGCTCCTGATCTCGTATTTCTGCCTTTACAAGTCAGGATAAAGCTGTGCCTGACAAGCCAACCCCTTGGGGTTAGGACAATACATCTTGCAGAAAAATCCCACAAGAGTAATGAAGCTTTGGAAGGAAGATTAGGCCAAAGCTTGTGTGCCACTGCAATTGAAGCACCTCTGAGCTCTGTGCCAGGTGTGTGTGCCTTGCCTGCACCAGGAATACCAGAAATGGACAAGTGGTCCTTTTCTGGCCTCCCAAGCCATCAGCAGCTGGGGCACCTTCTCTGCCCAGATGACTTTTAATAGCTGCTGCTGGCTTAGTACCCCAAGGAGCTGTAATTGTCTCTTTGAACACGTGCATCTCACAGGTGCTTGGCACTATATTTAAGTTACAGGTTCATCAGCAGAGAAACAGGAGCTTTGCTGGGGAACGCTTGTCATAGCAAAGGCTTCACGTGCTCAAAATAGAAATTAGGAAATCAAAAAAGACAAAGAAACTATTCAAATAGTTTTTGAGCAGATTGATGGAAAATGCAGGAAAGTAAGAGTGTGAAGGTTGCCCCTGCAAGGGTCCAAGACTTTCTGAAACACTTGGGGAGCTAGGGAGAGGATAAAGCAAGGGAGAGTTCAATGCTGGGCAGCTTTCACAAAGCAGTAAGTGAATGGTTGATGAGAATATAACTAGCTGCTACTGCAGATGGGGGCTGTGACTGGAAATTGCAGCTGCTGCTTTGCTCTAGCTCATTTTATGCAGCTGAGTTGGAAAATAAACTACACCTCACTTTTTCTACCTCTGCTCTCAGGATTTGGGGTGCTCATTTAGCTGTCTGTAAAGTATTTTCTGGAGTCTTTGAAGAGAAAGCAGGATGAAAAAAGCAAGTTCTTAGTGCAACAGCTGATAAAGACAAAGTGCTGAATTTTAGGCTCCTTTTAATCTTTCAGCAGTCATGTGCTCCTTGGATACATGTGTTTTCTTAAAGAGCAAAGCATAATCAGCTTTACATCCTGCATTGCCACGAGCACTTCCTCTTCAGTTCAAAGGCAGTGCAGAGGGATCGAGATGGAGGGACCCATCTTCATGTCCATATTCATGCCCACCTCTGCTTTGACTCCATTTCAAACGTAGCATCTTGCACTTAGCAACTCAAGATCCTGTTTTCTCACTTCTGTGTTGTGGCAATGTCGCTTTCCTTGGAGAAAAGTTCTTGTTTGTCATTAAATACCGGTGTTTGAGAAACAAAGCGGAGGAGGATGGTGCTTCCAAACCAAGGGCATCAGCATGTTTTTAACAGCCTGCCTCCCTGCTTGGGACTGCAGCTAGTTACCCGAGGTACTCCCTTTTGCCTACGTAAACAGAAAAAAAAAGGTGGATTACAGGCAGCTCCAGAGGAAAACGTGCAGACCTGACTTTCAAAGCACTTTGCACGCCCTTCACATAAAGCAGAGGGAAAGCTGGTGTGCAGACAGGAGCCGTGGGAGCGAGAAGCTCCCAGGCAGCCAGTTCAATCACTGCATGCTGCTCCTGGGCTTTTGTTAGGTGTTTGCTGACAACCACACTATTCCTAAATGCAGTGTTAGTGATAAATGCTGGGAAACAGACCCACTGAGAGCACAGCTAGGACTCTCTGTACTCCTGTGCCTGGGTGGGGACAGTGGTGTGTGGCTTTGGCGTTGAGCTCTAGTTACCTAAGGACCAGAATGACTCAACCAGCTTCAATTTCAGCATGTGCCAAAGGAATTCAGGGACTGCAACTACTTGAATTCAAAATTACTAGAGTGTATTTTTAGTAGACAGAAAGTGGAGGCTTTTCCCAGCTTTGTGGTTGTCAGGGGGAGTTTGCTTCCTGGGGACACTTTCAGGTGTCTATGGCTTCTTCTGTGGGAGATAAAATTCCAGCCAGGGGAGAAAAAACACTGAAATTCAGCCTTTAGCAACCAAAATGCACAATGTGGTGGGTGACAGATCTTGAAACAGGTACAGCTGGACCTTAGTACTCTGGTCTGAAATGCTTTATTGGTGCTCTTACATGAAAGTTAAGTGTTAGAATCTATATATTCTGCTAAGAACAATTTTCTTGGTCATTGTCTTATCCCCTTTCAGATGAGTGGTGCCCAGAGAGAACAGACCTGCTCTGACAACTCACTGACTGTGACAGAGCTGCAAAGTAACAGTTAGTTGGACTTGGGTTCTCCTTCATAGCAACCTGCAAGCTTTGCCTTGGAGGTGATGAAGAACTGTACTGCCTGCAGGCAGAGCTCTCAGGAAGGTAATCTCTGAGTGCCATTGCAGGTTGTCTCTGGCACACTTTCATCCAGATTGTTGCTGGTGAAGCCTAAGGTGTGAATCCCTTGAAGCTGTACTTGGCATTTCCCAGAGACAGAAGCCTGAGGTGGGTGGCCAAATGTACCCTGTCCTGACCCTAAAACAGTAGCATGAAGAGCACACCAGGTTTTCATCTTTGGGAATGCATGCTTCAGGTTCCTGCCAGATAAGAACATATTAAAGGGCAAAGCTCTGCAATGACAGTAAGGCAGACTCCTTATGAAAGCAGAAAAGAACCATTAAGATGGCATGGTGGAAGATGAGTTTGTTGCCAAACTGGATGAGAGCAGATGTGAGGGGGGCCAGGATCCAACACTGTGAAATCAGTCTGCAGAGTGCAAAACAAAAACCTCTGGATCCCAGAGGATCTGTGACACTCAAAACTGATACTCATAAATTTGTTATTACACAATAACATCAAGGAAGCTGCTGGTAAGAGCAAAAGAGAAGTGGTGATGAAAAAAGCCAAGGTCATGAGCTGCCCACCAGACATCCTCAGCTAGGCAGCAGTGGGATGTTCTGACATCTGTGGAATCTTCTGACAAGCTCAAGTGGCTTCCTTTGATCCCAAAGGATGCCTCTTTGACTTTCTACAACTAAAACAAAGCCTCGAACAAGAAAGAACAGAAACATCAAATAAACAGGATTCCCCATTTTATGAACTACTTAGATATACAGTGAAGACCAGCCAGGTTGGAACTGAAGCAATAGAGTTGAAAAGCAGATGATGAAAATGGGGAGGAAAAGCTCCCATTCAGGATCTTTCCTCAGCAAGATGAAACACAGGAAACTGCTAGATAAAAGGGACATAAGCAACCTTGGATCTGACAGCAGAGTGGAAATCCCCTGGCTGGAGAAGAGAGGATGAGCTCTAAGGAGATCCTAGGGTAATGGGCTCAAAGAAACCCTAGAGCAGAAGAAGAAGCAGTCAAAAAAGGAACTCCATCAATCAGTGGCCATAAAAATGTGCATGTGAACTTCTAAGAAATTCCCAGGGAGAAGAACAATTTGGGTTGAAAAGTGATGAATGCAGAACTCTAAATACTGGTCACTGGCCCTACCCAAACTAGTTTACTATGAGTATGGAGAGGTCACACAGCCTCCATGGGCCTCTGCTTCACCACTCCTTTCAGACTGGGGTAGAGATATTGTCTGTTAAAACATGGATGTAAAAATAGATCACTTCAACATGTATAAAATCATTTCACTAAGGGAAGAGAATTATTGCTGATTATTAGCATATGTAGATGATTGTGTATAGAGTAAATAGAGCCTTGAAGTGTCACCCAGTTTACTTTTTAGCTGCTCTTTGTTATATCAGGGATGATTGCACTCCATCTGCTTCTGACAACCTCCTGTGATGGAAGTTCAGTTCTCCTGGGAATCCTATCCCAGGATTCAAGTTATCTTCACAGTTAAACCTTCTCCTGTTACCTAATCTTGATCTTGCTGCTGTGACTTGAACCCATTCATTACTGCTCACCCTATCTGCTGTGAGCACAGGTTTTTGTAGACATGAGAGGTGTCTGGGTTTCTATGAGTGGGTTTGTACCCATCAAGTGTGTCGTGTGGTTTTCACTCTAAGAAGCAGTCTGACTACTTACAGCTTTGCCAAAGCTCAGCTATTTAGGCTAAAGCCTTTCCATGCCAGGCATTTCCCTCAAGCTCTTTTCCACCCCCTGCTTTTTTTCTTCATCACTGTCTTTTTGTTTTAGAATGCAGCCAAAAATCTCAGCTGTTTCTGAGAACAAGGTTAGGGAATGATACTGCTGCATTATGGCTGAACAGGAGAACTAGAGTGGGGATTATTTTTGGAAACCTTGAGTGCTCTGATCTGAAATCTCAGAGAGGGGCTGTGACTTGAAGATCAACCAGTCAGGTGCTAACCCCCCAAAATGACAGCTCCCCATGGTGGACACAGGTTGGTTGGGCTGGAAATCTCAGTTCATACTGAGATGTTCCTTGTGAGAGGCTCAGGAGTTATTCTTCTTGTCCTGAAAGGACTTTTCTTCCACAGCACAAACTCATTTGGACACAGAACTTGTAGTAAAGCAAGGTGTGGGAGCTCACTACACCTGTGTGCATTTTTCCCCTCTTCTCTGTTCTCTTACACTACAAACTGTGTAGTCTGCAGGTCAAACTCAAGCAAATTTGAGTGTGGGAGGGAAAGCAGACTTCAGAAATTCCTTCAAAACCCTTTAGATTACGTGGTATGAGTGAAAAGGGAGAACAGAGATGCAAATCCTGAGGAAGCCCTTGCTTTACTGCACAGCAGACTGTGTTTGTGGAGAACACTGTCATTTGTTAATGTCCCTGTGACAAGATCCAACTTTGTATTTAATATGTCTTTTTCCTCCTTCAGCTTTCCAGAGTGGTTTTGTTTGGGTTTTTGTTTGGTTTTTGTTTTTCCTTTCCCCAAACAGTTAAGACTGTTTAAAATCCAGGATCTCTGATGAAACCAGATCTGCCTTCGATACACATTAATCATGGCTGGATTATGGGGTTGGAGTAGCCACTGGAATTTCTTTCTGGTGAAACTGGAAGTGACCTTTGTTTCTTCTTGTTCTCTGGGTCAGTCTCAAGCTTAACTGGACATCTACAAAGGCTGCAGCTGCTAACAGAGACCACAAAGGTGACTGAGGGGTGAAGAGCAACGTCCTCCACTCGCGTGCCTTGCTTCTGTTGCTGCTGCTGTAGTGTTGGCTGTGGATGTCTTGGCTGATCTCCTTCCTCTTGGTAAGCATAGGTCTGGGCAGAGTAGGAAAGGCACAAAACTGCAGAAAATTACAATGCTAAGAACTTGAAAAGAGGGAAAATCCACATCTAATAGGAAAATCCTGTGGTAGAGTGTGCTGAGAAATCTGTATTGGGACGTAAAGAAGGCAGAGGAGCTGTTGTAAATAAACCCTTCAACCTGGAACGTGCCAGCAAATCTGCAAGGGGGAATTCTTGTGCCCTTATGAAGTCAAGGCAAAGTCTATGAGGCTTCGTTCTGACCCGGGGCGCGCCCGTTTGCATCAAGGTGGAGGACTGGGGCCATCCTAATTCCTAGTCAGTAAAAACAAATAGCTCTAGCAACAGAGGAGAAACAAAACTTTGAAAACAAAGTTACTATCAACACTCTGCCTTTTTGAAATCCCTTCCAAATTCTCCAAGGATAAGATCAATGCGAACAAAAACAATAACAGCTCTGTGTGGAAAGAAGGTGAAAAGGCAGCTCCCTCAGCAGCACACACCCAAGAAATGGGCTTTGCTTCGCTTTCTTGGAGCTGACAGGAGCCTGGCACAATTCAGTAGCACCCCAGAGCATCAGCCAGGTATTTTTTTTAAACTTTACGGGCTCTGTAATGAAAGCAGCGGTCGGCACCCCCTGTGCCAGAGCACTCCAAACCTGCCCGCGATGGAATGTGCTGATAAAGAGGAATATTTCCTTGTGGACTTTGTTTGAGACATAAATTTAAATATTGCTAATTTCCAGTATCAGCCTCAGCAAGAGATTCAACCCTTGGTGATCCATCTGTAAATGGTGGCAGCTCTTTCTAGCCTTGAATGTTTAATTAGACAACACATTTTGTGACTTTGTCTCCCAGTCTCTCGGTTCTCCTAAGTGGGCCAGTGTTTTCTGTGAAAACACAATAAAACAGCCAACAATCCATTTGTTACAATGAGACGTGGCAGCCTAGGGTGTTAGGTGCATGAAAATGTAAGGTTTTGATGTGATTACTGTGTAACAAACTAGCAGAACTCAGCTCAGTTCTGAAATGTTCACCTTGAGAATGAAATTAATTCTTAAAGTAAGAACAGTATTTTTAGAATAATCTGATGGTTTAAAAGTCAACATTTTGCTGCCTTTTATAAGGCAAATTTAAAGCTGGGCATGTGGATAAATATGAGTGACCAAGATGACTGAATAGCAGGAAACTAACTTACAGTATCTTCCAGAAAACTCCTTAAAAAGAGAAGGTAAAAAAAAAATAATATTCACAAATGCAATTTCTTTCCATCACTGGATCTCTGAGAGGAAATAATTATATCTCAAAGTTTACAAGAATAATCTCTTTCGAATCTGAAAAGTCACTTGGACATTATCTGTACCAAGACTGAATCACCTCTAACTGTTTTACTAAGTATAACCAAAAGTATAACAGACTGTAAGACAGCTTGCTCAGTAATAAACATTCACATGTGAAAGAAGAACAGAGCTTTGAGTCACTGTTTAGCTTTCTTCCCCATGATCTCAAATTAAACCCATGAAGAGCTATCCCTACAAGGGCCTTGCTTCCATGCTTTGAATCCTGACATGCCCTGTGCTGGTCGTGCAGGAGCAGACCTTGGTGCAGGATACAAGCCCCTCTCTCACATCAGCCACCAAGTTAGTTTGTGTCAACCAATGTCTCACAGTGCTGTGTATGCTAACAGGAGAGGGAAAAACCCAAAACAAAACCAAAGCCCAAGACCCCCTAAAGACTGGAAAAAATTAATTAATCCAGAGTGATGATGTTGCATTATCAGATTGATTCAAGTGGTGGAAGCTGCTAGAGCATGTGCATATTTTGACTGCCTTTTATACAGGGTCTCTGCTTGTGACCACTGTCACCCTGATTCTTTCATTTGGAAGGAAACTTCAGATATCCTGGGTGGGCAGGTTCACATCCCCTCTGAGTTGCCTGAATACTACAGCTGGCTTGTGCTAGATCTGAGGAACTGAAACTGTCTGCATTGTCCATTCTCATGTCTGGAAGCCCTTGAGAAATGAAAATCCACAGGCACTTTCAGAACAACTCCAGGATTTCACATCTTGTCTGGCCCTTTTATGTCTGGTTGTGCTTAATGTTTTTAATTTTATAGAAGACTCTCTACCATTGCATGTCACCTCCCAAAATCACACATATGCTTTTGAAGAAGGTCAAGGGAGCCTTTAGTCTGCTTTGCTGAGACCCCGTCTGGAGGATTACCTTCAGCTCAGGGGATCCCAGAAGAGGAAGGACATCAATCTGCTGGGGTTGGCCCAGAGAAGATTGTGAAGATGATCAGAGGCTGCAGCCCCTCCCCTATGAAGACAGGCTGAGAGCTAGGAGTATTCAGCCTGAAGCAGAAAAGGCTCCAGGGAAACCTTATTGCAGTGTTTGGTAATTAAAGGGGACTTTTAGGAAAGGTGGGGACAGATGTTTTAGCAGGGCCTGTTGCAATAGGACAAGAGGTAATGGTTTGAAACAAAGAGACTGTTGATTTAGATTAGATGTAAGGAAGAAATTTTTTTACAGTGAGGTGGTGAGGCACTTGCACAGGTTGCCCAGAGAGGTGGTGGGTGCCTCATTCCCAGGAACATTCAAAATCAGTCATGCTGGGACTCTGAGCAACTTGGTCTAGTTGAAGATGTCCCTGCTTGTTACAGGGAGATTAGACTAGACAGCCTTTAAAGGTTCCTTCCAGCCCAAACTATTCAAGGATTTTAAGTTTTTAATGGATTATCAAATGCAATGTAAGGAGACAGTGTGGCCGATGGCAGCACAGTAGGTAACACAGAAAAAACTATGTCTGAACAACATGCAATCGAGTGCCATTAGCACGGTCTGTGTACTGATAAGAGCATCTCCAGAGCTATTTTCACAAAGGCAGTTCTTAAACACTTCCTTTTATGTATTTAGGCTTGTGTGAGTCACATTTTGTGCTCAGTTAAACTTTCTCCTCATTGCTCAACATCTGGGATAATGACAGTGCCTGGCTCTTTACATAGATATCTCAAGATCTTCATCTGGAGATCTCGAGTCACTTGATAGGTGGGCGAATTAAGGCATTAGAGGTGAAGCCATATGCCCAAAACCATCACTTAGAAGGCCAAAGGCAAAGCTGGAAGAGGCACCCAGTCCTGGCTTCTTCTCGCCAGACAAGGGAGACTCTGAGATAATATTTCTTTTAACAGTTTGTGCTGTGATTGGTAAAATTAGAAAAAGAGGGAGTTTAAAATAAAAACTGCATATTTTCATTGCCAAAACATGCATGGATAGCACAGAATCATAGAAATGTGTAGCTACTGCAATCACGATCACTGTTCCAAATAACCAGTATGAAAATCAAGTAGCCTTCTGGGATAATCTGTTTTAATTCTCTAACAATTGTGTAACTCAGGCTTCATTGCATCATTTGGAGGAATAATTTGTTCTGATGTTCTCAAGTTCCATTTTGTATTGTTTTTACTAGAAAAAAACCAAGCCCAACTGTATTCCCCTGGTTAATGGAAAGTATTTAAACAGATTTTCAATTCATTAGGATGTTGTGTACCAAGGTCATTGGTCAGAGGCAATCTTTGCTACACCAGATTCCTGAACCTGGTATCACACTGCACGTTCATATGTGCACATTGTGACCTTTTTGTGATCAAAAAGTGGCTATCAAGTGTCGGAAGGATGTATTCAGGTGGGTGTCCCAGGCTGTACAGGCCATGCTTTTGGGGAGAAGCTGCACATGTAGGTTATTGAAACCAAGGGTGTTCATATGTGAAGCACTCTGTTGAAGTGCCAGTGTCCAGGCCCACAGCCCAGCATAAAGATCTGTCTTATGGGCCCACAGCCCAGGGTGTCCAAATCACACAGCTGGGAAAGGATGGCTGTGTCTGCTGGTTTTTCATGTAGGCCTGCCCATGAAGACTTAGGTATTTTGTTGCACTGTGGTTGTAACCAGGCTGAAGGAGAGGTGTGGATACAGCTTCTCCAGCATGAGAATAATTGTGACTGGGATGCTCACAGTGGGAACTTCGGCTTCAACAGCCTCAGTGAGGGAAAGGTCCTGGCTCCTGGCTGAGTACTCCACATGCTTAGAGTTATTTTGAGTAGCACCTGTAGGCAACTTCTTTTAGGAAAAAAGGCTCCAGCTTTGGCATCTGGAATGAAGAGATGCATCTGTCTTGTAGCCTGGTTTAGAGAGAAGAGACATGAGGTGCTGTTTCCTCCCTCATACCTGCCATGCTTGGTGTTTTTTAAGTGGTAGGCAACTTCCCACTCATAATGCAAAATTGGATTGTTTTGTTTAACTGTTGTGGTATGGCTCTTATCTCTCTGTGCTAGGTAAGATGTTTAGCTATCAACTTTGGACTTGGCCAAGTCCTAAAAGCTGCACATTGTTGCCTCTAGAGTTCCTACATCCCTCTCTGCATAAAGTGCTTCCACTTTATTTCCACAGACATTAACAAATTCTGATGACTCGTGGTCCTTTTCATTGCCCATATCCTTCACTTGGGTTATTTTGGGAGTCCTCAGATAAGATAGATCTTTATGCTGATGTATGCAGGCTAAACATGAAAGGCTGCTCTGGGGGTGAGCAACAGTATTTCAGGATGATTTCTGCATGTGTCTGTGGGTCCATGAACTGATCAGCAGTACCCCCCCACTGGTGGGGTGACTCCCATGAAGATATTCTGGCTGGGAGCATCACTTATAGTAGCAGGGAAATGAAAATTAGTCTGGGCAAAAGAGCAATTAATTTTCTCAATTCCTCCCCCTTCCCCCTTCTCCCCCCCAGTTTTGTAGTACCCATAAGCACAGACCTTGCATAAGTGGATTGCATTTCACACCTAATGTGCATAATTATATCTTGCAAACAGTTTATTAATGGATCTATAATCACAGAGTAGCTTGTACATACATAATGCTGGTGTTTGATTATACTGCAGCTGCCATAGATCAATGGATACACAGGAGTCTGGATTATTAGTGTCTCACACGTGTGAAGTCTAGAGAACAATATAACACCAGTGCCATGCAGTTGTTCATCAAATGCTGCTACCTAGGGGAAACCAGAGGCTTTAAAGATGTGGTAAAGAAGGGTTATAGAAAGAACAGTACATAACAGGACTTGGAACTTGAAGAAAGCTCTCTTTCTCAAAAACATTCCATCTGTAAATCCTTCAGTGGTGTTCTGTCTCAATTACCAATGCACTGTAAACATGCTAGATCTTATTTTGGAAAGGGATCTGTTCTGAGAATTCACTGGGAAAGCAGCATGCCTACAAGCTTGACCATTTCTGTTTTCTGAAGGTGACTCACCCGGAGACTGATGAACAGCCTGAGTTCTTCTGAATCAACAAACCAGGGATCTGCAGACTGAGCTAAGCCTACTAAATCTGAGCAGCCTGAACCACGGTGAAATGCTTTGTGGAGATATCACCAAGATGCCTTTGGGAAGCAGTTGCATTTGGTTATGCACAAGGAAAAAGGTTCTAGCTTGTTTTGGTGTGTTGTGCTAAAAGCAAAAATAAAAAAGTTTGGTGAGCTGCAGAATTCCCATGAGATTGTATCCCATGTCTCACACGTTAACCTCAGCTTTGCCTCTCATGTCCCCCAGCTACCACCTGCGAAGCTGCCTCTGATCTGTGTTGACTGTCTGGCTGGTGGCCAGTGACTCTGGCCAAACAGGGTAAATAACTGCAAATTATGCCCTAGACTTTCTCGCAGCAAAGACATGTATTAGTTTGTGTGCCTCTCCTCCATCTAGTTAGGAACAAAAAAATAGGAACTTCGCTGTCTTTAAGACCCTAATTGTCTTGTTAAATGTTGGGGGTTGAGAGAGGTAGAGAAAGGAAGAACTGCTGCAATTTTATAGCTTTTTGTGATGACAAAACATGTCTAAAATAATTGTTTTCTTTATATGAATATGAAATAATTGGTTCCCTTTGCTAAGAAGGTATTCATTATTCAGAGCAAAAGCTCTTATCTAGCTTAGTGTAGAGAAACTGGATAAATTCAGAAGAATAATATGATCCTGTGCCACTGTGCTCTATCTCACCCCTTCCTGCTATCCTGTTTCTGCATCAACTAACTGAGGCAACAAGCATGGGCAGTGTCTCATCTCTTACAGACTTTCTGATAATATTGACTCACTTTATTTAAAACAAAAACTTTGGAAAGATGAAAATTGCAGGATGACAAATGTTAAACAAAGAGCTGCATGGGGGAAAGCAGTCAAACTTGATATCGTTTCCAAAGTCTTGAAAAATATATGCCAAGGTCAAAACACAAAACTTGCTAGGTGATTACATCTCCTGTTTCTTATTTTAGGGCTTTACAACCACTCAGCTCGCTTTTGACCTTGGTAATTTTTTTTTTTTTTTTGCAAACTGTTGTTTGGAAAAAGGCACAGTCAGTTTCGGGGCTGAGGATGTAGAACTAGGTAGTGAAAGATTATTGGAGGTCAAGAGAGCAGATTTCTACCTTATGAACTTGGCAGCTCTCCTGCAGGCCTACGCTCCTGGTATTGATCTTGTTGTAAGATGAATAGTGATATGGATTTTTTTTTAAAATGTCTTATTTTGGGACCTTTTAAATGTGGCTGACATTCACGAAAATTTCACTTAAGGGTGGATATTAATCTAAATGATCAAGACAATACACAATATTTTATATTTTCAAGCTCAGTGTATTTTCTTTTGAGATTGAAAAACCCCTTTTAAAACAGTTCTTTTAATGCTTTTAACTTCTGAATTTACTTATATGTCTGCAATACAGTAACATAACAAAAATCAGAACAAACCGTTTAAACAGTTGTCTGCAGTTTTCCTATTGATCAGAAATGTATTAAGTTTCTCATAGCATATTTTCTACATTTAGAAGAAGAGTCTAAAGTTTTTTTCTGTGAAGTCTGAATACAATAAGTTAAGGGTTACAGTTACTTCATTAATTTTTTTTATTATTTTACTCATACTTGATTCAAATTATGTCTTCTGGCTCACCTTAGCATTGCTGGCTTCGATTTGCATGACTGTGTGTAAAGTTAAGATCGTAATACTGAGAGGTTAGAAAACCTCATTTCTTTATCAAAAGATCTAATATGCTCTAATATTTTAATGTTGGCAATAGGTATTGTAATACGCTTTTTTGGCTCATGCTGCCATCCTTATGATGCTCCAGAGCTGCTAAAAACCTGGGGGAGTAGTTGTAGGGAAAAAAATTCCCAGAATATTGAGTTGGAAGGGACCCACAAGGAACATAGAATCCAACTCTTACAACTGCGCAGGACATCCCCAAGAGATACTCTGTGTGCCTGAGAACATTGTCCAAATGCTTCTTGAACTCTGTCAGGTTTGGTGCTGTGATCACTTTCTTGGGAGCCTGTTCCCTTGCCCAACCACCCCGTGGGTGAAGAACCTTTTTCTGACATCCAACCTAAACCTCCCCTGATTTCAGCGCCATTTCTTTGGCTCCTGTCATTAATTGACAGAGACAACACAAAGGTGCCTGCCCCTCACGAGGAAATTGTAGACAGCAATGAAGAATCGAGGTATAAAGTAGGTATGTATGAAAAAACAGATTTAGGGGCAGGTGATGTATGTCCTGCTCTTGGATTGGATTAGCGCCTGTAAAATGCATGCTCATGTAGAATCAAGAATTCAGGCAGCTGTGTTTCTAGCCTGAAAGTGAACTTTTCAACCACTGCTGCAGCGAAGCGCTGGGTTTTGGTTTTGCTCTAGACTGACACGACTTCAAAGACACCGAGCCACATGCTGAGGCGGCGATGGGTGCCCGTGCTCCCTCGGGAACAGGCCCCCGCCTCGGGCAGCGCGGCTGGCGGGCTCAGGGACCGGGCAGCGGGCTGGCTCCTGTCAGCGGCGGGCTCTGCGACCGCCCTTGGGCTCCTCCAGCCTTCACGATGGCTTAGAAGACGGAGCCAGACGCGGAGGTGCGAGGCCAGCGCTGTCCCTTCCGACCTGCCCCATCCTCACGGCCACCCTCGAGCGGGCCGGCGGAGCAGGTGCGGGGGCCCTGCTGTGAGGGGAGCGCTGCCCGTCGCCACCGGGGCGCGGGGGGCGGCCGCTCCCTGCCCGCCGCACTGCTGGGGCTGCTCCCCTCGGAAAGCGCCGAGCCGCGGTGACGGGGGGAGGCTGTGACGGGGACAGCGAGCGGAGCGGCCCCGCTGCGGGCGAGACAGCGCCCGGCCGAGGGACGCGGAGGGGGCTCTGAGTCACCCCTCGCCCGCTTCCCGCCTTGCGGGGCGCATGCGCGGCGGCGGCGGCGGAGTTGTGAATGGCGCGGCTGTTCGGGCCGAGTTTACGAGCCGGGAGGAAGTCGGAGGGGAGGGAGCGGGCTGGGGGCGGGAGCGGGCGGCGGCGGCAGCGGCAGCATCGAGCTCCGGCGGCGGCTGCGGCTGCTCTGCGTGCGCCGCGGGAGGAGGAGGGACGGGAGGAGGGAAGGGGGGGCGCCGCCGGCGGGGGCTAACAAAGGGCGAGGCGAGCGCTGGGGCTGGGACAGCGCGGGGCGGGCGGGAGGGAGGGAGGGAAGGAAGGAGGGCAGCCGGCGGCGGCGGCCCCACCACCATGCCGCGGGTTGTCCCCGACCAGCGGAGCAAGTTCGAGAACGAGGAGTTCTTCAGGAAGCTGAGCCGCGAGTGCGAGGTAAGGCGGCGGTGGCGGCGGGGCTCCCCCTCCCTCCGCCCGCCGTGGGGAAAGTTTCCGCGGGCCGCGGAGGGGCCGGGGCAGCCCCGCAGCTCCCCTCAGCTGCGGCGGGAGCCGAGCCGGCGGCGCGGGGACGCGCAGTCAGTGCACTCCGCTGCCCCCTTATCGCCGGGACTGGCCCCTCCTGATTGCGCGCCCTGTTCCCCGCAGATTAAATACACCGGCTTCAGGGACCGGCCGCACGAGGAGAGGCAGGCCCGCTTCCAGAACGCCTGCCGCGACGGCCGCTCCGAGATCGTAAGTGGCGCCGCGCTCCCCTCGGTGCCCGCCGGGCCGGGCCGGGCTCGGTTCGGGGAATAAAAGTTTGGGGGAAGCCGTCGGGGCAGCGAGCGCTGCGCGGTGCCCCAGCCCCACGGCTCGGGGCCGGGCCGGTGCCTGGGGCCGGTGGGGGCCGCGCCGTGAAGGAGAGTTTCCCTCAAGGAGGGGAGTGACATCGGCTGCCTTTCAAACGCCGAGGGAAAGGAGGCTTAGGTGAACAGGCGGCATTTCTGCCCGCTTTAGGAATAGCCGTGTTCAGCCCGAGGTGTCGGCTGGCTCCCGAGCGGGGGCAGCGGCTGTCCGGAGCGCCGCGGTGACAGGGAGGGAAGGAAGGAAACCCCCGGCAGTGAGGACGGGCTGCGCTCCTTCCCTGGGCACGTGCTACAGCTACGAGCTGCTTATTTCAATATTCAGCTTTTTTTTTTCTTTTCTTCTTTTTTTTTAATTTATTTTTTTTTCTTTCCGGAAACAGTAGTTTTGAGAAATGAGTAACATTGTTCAGAAGGCGCTTGCTTAAAGTCCTGAGTGAGCTGTTTGTTGTATTTCTGAACTAAATCAAACGCTTTTAAAATTAGGCTTTGAAACTTGCAACTTCAGCTCCGTTTTCCTCATTCATTGAGGTTAGTTAGAGACTACTGTCGCCCTGTGAAATAAGAACTGAGGTGTGAAGTATGGCTCAGAGGAATCATGAACTGTCTATTTCCTGGTTTGATTTCTGCTCTAGGTTGCCTCTGTAGAATTAGTATTCTATAGCATTGTCACGTTTGTAACTCTACTATTAAAACACAGAAGTAACCTCTTATTCATTTACAGTATCTAGTGAAAGACAAGGTAAAATAGAAAATAAACCCCCCACTTCCAACAAGTTTGGTTTTATGAGCATTCTTTAATTTCACATGGTGTACATACTGCTAGTCAGTTCACAATGAAGTTATTCTTATGCACAATGCAATTACTCTTATACACATCCAGAAATACTTGGATACCAGTTACTGCAACTGATCTCATTCTTTTGCTTTTGTCAGTAAAAGGATACACACTCAAGAACACAGTTACCTTTAACTGGATAACTTTATTTTAGCTAAATGTTATCCCTGCTTGTTATCTCTTGTTTTAGAACCTGTAATATTATTTTACAAGAGGCCTGCTGTAGACAGGTTCTTAATTTTACTATTTTTTAAAAATTCATTTTCCTTTGTGCATGTTTGCTTCCTTTAAGAAAACACCAGGGAAACAATGGGTAGGTAAGGAAGACATAGTTCACTAGCACTGGAAGTTCCTGTACAGGTGAAAATGCATAATATACCTGAATCTCTGCCTAAGAAAAAAAAAAAAAGCCCATGTAGCTTATAACTAGCTTTCTAATGCAGCCTGTGCAGTTATTTATATAAATGGGAAATTGCTGTAGTTTCACCTTTGTACTCCTGTGCTTGCTGCTGCCTTTTTTTGCCAGAACTTCATCCCTTGGAAGCAAGCAGTG